AATATATGCTTAAGCAAACTTTGATCCATATTTTCTTAGTGGTGGGATTGAGACATATTAGATACAAATATGTCTTTATATGTAAAATAACTAAACTAGCTAAAATAAATGTTGTTATAAGTTATCATGTATAACTACTGTAAGATATACAGCACAATAAGTAAATTACAAAGTATAAAAAAGTTAAAAGTCTCAACATTTATACAACAATGAAAGATATTCTTAATATAAGTCAAATTTATATAAAAATATTAAAAAATAATTAAATTGTTTTAAACTAAATGTCTTTAATCAAGTAATTTAAAGTAGATTTAAAGTTATAATTAAGAAATACTAAAAAGACTTTTAAGACTATTTATAAATTCTTACACTATTTCAATATTAAAATTAAAAGAATTGATATGTAATGAATCCAAAATAGAGATTTAGTAACTAATCATTTGTTTATTAAATTGAATTGGAAATCAGAGAAAGCATTTCATAAACCCTTTTCTATAAATGAAATGAACAAAAATTAATATAGTTTTGCCAATACTTTTTCAAAGACTTATCTTTTTTATATCTGGTTTTACTTCTTATGTTTTTTCTTTTTGTAAATTAATTGTAAAAATAATTATTCAAAAATCCTTCGTTTACTTCCAAAAACTAATCGCATTTTTAAAAACTCACTTTTTATTAAAATTTTTTGTTGTTTTATAAAAAAAATACTTAAGGATCGATAAAACACGACCACACCTTTGCTAACCATAACTTATATTAATATTTAAAAATATTTAAATTTTTTCTTTATTATAAATCCGATAATTAGATCTTAAGCTATAAGCGATGCATACGTACAGCGACTGATGAAATCCTTGTACTTGATTACTATAATATGATATTAAATATATATTTAATACTCCAAATACATGTGAAACTAATTAATATTTTCACGTTTTTGTCACTTACTTTCTCAATGACATAAATCAAGGCATATATAAAACTCCTCGAGAGCTAAGTAAGGATCAGTTGAATCCGTTGTCAATCCGATCGCAGTTCACACCACAAACTACTTCACAATGAAAGTCGCTATCGTATTGTGTGCTTTTGTCGGCGTCTCACTCGCCATCCCTTATGAAAGTTATGGAAAGGCCGTCAATACCGGCCGATCACAAGTGATGCGAAAGGACGACGTAAGGCTACCAATACTCACCTCTCCATTGTCTGTAAGGCTAACAATAATTGGTTGATATATAGGGTCACGGAAACTACGAGTTCGGTTACGATGAGGACCACTCCAGTGGAGGCACTTCCAGACGCGAGAAGGGCGGTAAGGGATGGCAGACGGGCTCATACGAGCTCCGCGACAAAGACGGACGCAAACGAACCGTGAAATACGTGGCCGACGCTCACGGATTCAGAGCTCAAGTGGACACCAATGAGCCCGGAGTTGACTCGAAAGAGGATCCCGCGGACGTCAACATCAATAAGAATGGATACGGCATTCAATACGCGCAGCCCATCACCACTTACATCGCTAAGGCTGAGCCCCAGATCATTACATACGCCAAGAGTTACGATAACGGATACGATAACGGAAACTACGGCGGAGACTACGGAAAGGGATGGGGTTCTGGATACTCGTCCTCGTGGGACAATGGAAACTCATACGGCAAATGGTAAACACTGTTAGCACCGGCTCTCCTAACCGTCTTATGATTTATCAAATGTTTTAGAATTTTAAATATTAATTATTAAATATTACAAATATATTGTAAAGTTATTATTAAGTTATTATTTCAATGATTACTTCACTTTCAATTGCTTTGCTTAATGTGTGACTCAGTTTTTAGTTGTTTTTTCAAATAAATATAATTTGTTTTGCTCTGAATTTGGTTTGCATTTTATTCCCATCCTTTACCTATTCATATGGTTTACATTTGATTTACAAAAATGAGCATGGTTACTAAATGGTTTAGTTTTTCCAAAAATTCTTTCACTTGTTTGCCACTCATTTTGTGTTATATATTGTTTTTTATGAATGAATTCTAACATTTGATATTATTAATTAATGATTAATTAACTGTTAAAAAATCAGTACAGTGAACTTTCCATATAGTGACTCTCTATACAGTGTATTTTCCATATAGTGTACAAAATATTTTAGTTTGGCGGACACTGTATGCCTGTAATGTTATTTCCGCTTCATATAGTGACTCTCTATACAGTGTAAATTCTATATAGTGGCCAAAATTTTGCTAATTTTGACTATATTTTACTATTTTTACGCTGTTTAGTTTTTCCAAAAATTCTTTCACTTGTTTGCCACTCATTTTGTGTTATATATTGTTTTTTATGAATGAATTCTAACATTTGATATTATTAATTAATGATTAATTAACTGTTAAAAAATCAGTAATTGATAAAATTGAGATCATTTCCACATATATTTTAATTAATTAATTATATTATTTATTGTCGATTAGTTTCTAAATTAGAAAAACCATTTGAGAGTTTATATTCGATAAAATTAAATCTTAATTGCAAACGAAACTAAAATTTAATAAAATAAGGCTTAAAATCATTATTTTATTTGATGTCTTTCACAATAAATACATTTCGGAAATAATAATTACCGGTAAATTAATTCTCGCGCAATTATTTTACGGCTATTTGATTGATATTAACAGTTGATTAAATAAACAGTATTTTGTCGGTTAAAAGTTTGTAAAATGTTTTCAGTGATAGTCTTGCGTTCTTTAAGAGTCCACAACACAATGAATCTATTGATTAAACCACAATATATTCCACAATTGTCATCAATATATTCAAAACACATTTCAATTAAAGCAAATCAATACAAGAATAAGTCAAATGATGACAATAAAGGGAAAGATCGTAAACCCAAAAAAGTTAAAATTGAAAATAAAAAGGTTGATAATAACGAAGACAATGACAAACATCTGAAGAATCACGAGGATTTGAAAGAGTTGGCTGATTTAGAGCAACGGCTAAAGAAAATAATGTCTGAAGCGGTGGACCCGTCATCGCCTTTCACGGGATTAATCCAGAGATGGATGTCTAAGCCGTGGCTCACATTCTTTGGCGATAAAGTGAAAACACTTAAAGTGGACGAAAGAAAACAAATTACAGATTTAAAAGAAGGAATGTTTAGAATAGCGTTTGATTTGACGGGTTATAAACCCGAAGAGATTCGAGTAATCATTTCGGACTCTAAGCTATATATTGAGGCGAAGACAGAGAAATCTAATGAAGACGGTTCTAAGGCTTGGCGTGAGTTCGCATACGAATGCTCTGTCGGTCGTGAAGTAAATCGTGAAAAAATGGCAGCTTTTCTCGATTCCGGAGGTTTTCTCGTCATTGAAGGCGAAATCATTACGAGTGAAGTGAAGAAGGCCTCGGGTGTCAAAAATGAAGTCAAAACACCAGACAATACCAAATAATTAGCTTTGTTTATGATTTTCTATAAAAATCCTCTAAAATGTTTAATTCACTGATTTTATCGCAAATTTATTTTCCAAAATAAAAGCTTAAAATTTAATTAAATGTTATCAATATTTTAATAAACATTTTATAAGAGCAATGATTCGCGACAATTGAAAGTGAAAGCAGTTTAGAGTTCAGTCACTATGTTATTAGAAATTCATTTTGATTTTTCAAGATTTAAATAAAGATAAAATTTACTGGAGAGAGAGAGAGAGAGAGAGAGAGAAGTTTATTAAAGAAATGATACTATGGATCGTTGACTTCATGCCTAGTATTGACCCATTGCTGGGAATTTAAAAGAAAGAAAAAACTATATCTTAAGAGGTAATTGAATTCGTGAACTCAAGTCAAGCGAACTTTCACTTCACTCTCACTTTTCATAACCTGAAAAACACTTCTTCAGGACTCGTTTGCCAACATTTGTCGCTAATTGGATATCAATTAAGTTTTTAGTATAAATATATATTTTTAGAAAATGTTTATTCAGTTTATTTCTCCAAAACGCATCAAATAGTCCTTCAAAAAGACACAATTCTGAATTCACTCACATAGACAGCAATATATGAGAAAAATGTACAAAATATTCAATGTTTTATTTTTCCTGTTTATTCAAACAAATGTCAATTTCATTAAAACTGAAGACACGTTTACGGACCCGAAAATTGTCTGCTATTACAGCGCTTGGGCTGTATATCGAGAGAAACCTATGGCTTACGATATTGAAGATATTCCGGCAAACCTTTGCACTCATTTAATCTACTCTTTTATTGGTTTGGATAATAAGACATACGAATTAAGAAACATTGATCCCATTTATGACATCGAAAAGAAGGGATTCGAACGGTTTGTCGGTCTTCGCAAAAATTACCCCAAACTTAAGATAATGATAGCGATTGGCGGATGGGCTGAAGGGGGCAAACAGTACTCGGAAATGGTTGCCGATCCTAACAAAAGGGAGCGATTCATTCAACAAGTGGTCGATTGGCTTAACAAATATAATTACGATGGCTTTGATCTCGACTGGGAATATCCCGGAGCCGGTGATAGACAGGGTTCCTATTCTGACAAACAAAACTTCTTAGAACTCGTAAAGGTTTGTAAACTTTTTTCATAAGTAACAACTAATTTACAACTAATTAACAACTTTTGAAACAATTATTTAATTTCAAAGGAATTAAGAGAAGAGTTTGATAAACAAAGCCGTAAATTACTGTTGACGGCAGCCGTTCCCGTCGCTAAGTTTCGGCTACAGGAAGGCTATGAAGTATACGAGTTGGCACAGTATGTGATCATTATTTTTGCTACAACTTATATTTATAAGTTACGCATAACAGGATACCATAGCATACATTATTGATCCCATGTATTAATAGATTGCTGGATCAAATCCATTTGATGACATATGATCTTCGGGGCAGTTGGACAGGCTTTGCGGACGTCCACTCACCACTATATAAGCGACCCATCGATGAATGGGCCTATGAGAAGCTCAATGTGGTAAATAACTCGTTCATTATAAGCAATATTATGGACATAAGTTATAAATAGAAACTAATGAACAATTCTCATGTGTAAGAATGACGGCACAAACTTATGGCACACAATGGGAGCCCCGAAACATAAACTGATTGTTGGCGTTCCCTTCTATGGCCGGACCTATACGTTGGGCGGTAAAGACAATCACGGACTCAGAGCACCGATTCAGAGATGGAATTCTAATAATGGAGGCGGAGAACCTGGATTATATACTAATGCATCAGGCTTTTTGGCTTATTATGAGGTTACTAGAACTTTAATATAAACTTTTAGAATTAAATATATAATTTGATAGCTGTATTCCAGTTCTAGTTTAAGTTCATTACAACTGAAATAATAATTTCAAAAAGATGTTTAAAAAATCAATAGAAAGCAATAGACGGAGATTAGCCATCATAACAATTAGAGCATTGCAAGAGTTGTAGCATTTTTGTTAAATTCATTATAACTTATAGATATGTGTAGAAACAAATGCTGGCAAATGGACCAAAGAGTTTGATGACATCGGGAAGTGTCCGTACGCTTATCGGGACACCCAATGGACCGGTTATGAAGACGAGAATAGTATTGGCATTAAAATGGATTTTATTAAAAGCGAAGGCTATGGCGGAGGAATGATTTGGGCCATAGATTTGGATGATTTCACTGGTGTTTGCGGCGGAAAGAAGAATGCGTTGCTTAATGTTATGAACGATAAACTAAAAGGTTATCAAGTGTTAGTTCCCGATCCGTCCAAACTGACCACAACGGCTAAACCGGGCAATCAGTGGTGGCCGACCACTACAACAAAGAAAGCTAAGGTAACCAAACCATCCGTAGTCTCCGTTACACCAACTATGACCACAACTGTCAAACCCAAACCAACAAAGCCATCGGTTGTGTCCATTACACCAAACGTAACCACAGCTGCCAAACCCATACCAAACAAACCATCGGTTGTATCCATCACTGGTAGCACAACTCCAAACCCAACTCCAAACACCACTCCGAGCACTACTCCGAGCACTACTGCCAGCACTACGAGTAACACCACTCCTATGAGCAGCACAATTAACACATCCACTGAAAGGCCAAAGCCATCGACAGAAGCGGCGCCGACGTCTGTCACTGACAAATGCGCGGAAGAAGGCGTTCAGTTTGTGGCCCACTGATGCGAGTGGTATAACGCTAACAAAAAGGACTACACGTGTAATATTGAAAACCAATTGTAAAAATACAAATAAAATGATTAAACAATTTAATATTTTTAAACAAATAAAGCGTGAATTAAATACTGTGTTATATAATAATTTGGATATAGTTTTATATATTTATTGCTGTTTTATTAAAAATGGCTTATAATTAGTCGA